GGCGGGCCTGCAGCTTGGGCCGGAGCTCCTTCCTCCCCGGCGGTCTGCCCCAACTGAGCAGCCCGGCAGCCTTTTATAGTGAGGCTGCACTTCGAGCATGCCCAGTAGGGCTGTGGGGGAGGGGCATGCTCTACCCAATAAACAGGCTCCCCTCCCTCCTGCTCAGTGCGGGGCACGTTAGCCCAATCACACACCTCCCCCCTTAAAAGGTTTCTTCCCGGTAGTCTCTCCTCCCCCTCTTCCGGACCTATGCGTGAAAAAAAATCTGTATTTCCATGGGCCTTCCCTGGCCTATGTGCCACTTGACATGAATACAGCTGCAAAGCTAGGTACCAGCGCATGATACGCGCATTGGTGTCTTTCATTGTTTGCAACCACCTTAGAGGGGCGTGATCCGTCACTATCAAAAAGGTACTCCCCAGCAAATAATACCTCAATGCGTCCATGGCCCACTTCACTGCCAGCGCCTCCCTCTCTGTGGTGGAGTACCGGGTTTCCCTGGGGTACAATTTGTGGCTTAGGTACAGTAGAGGGTGTTCTACTCCCTCCACCTCCTGGGATAGCACGGCCCCGAGGCCTACCTCGGAAGCATCTGTCTGTAGGATGAAGGGCCTGGAAAAATCCGGCTGGGCTAATACCGGTCCCCGGATAAGGTGGTCTCTCAAGGTTTGAAACGCCCTCTCGCATGCTGCTGACCACTCTACCCACCGTGGGTGTTGGTTTTTGGTCAGGTCTGTCAGCTCCGGTCCTCCTGCCTGCTCCCAAGCTCGGCTGAGGGTCGGGTCATTCCTTTGTTCTTCTAGGAAGTCTCTGTCCAGGGCAATGTCTGCTTCCTGGGTGTCTATAGGGGGAGCGTCAATTCCAGGGGGTCGTATGGCTCCCATCCTGGCCCCCCTTGAGGTCCCTTCCCCCGGGGTCTTCTTCCGTCGGCTGTCCTGTTAACGCCGCTTGTGGCTGTTCTGGGCCCCCCTCGCCGTGGTCCCCTCGCCTGTGGCCCTGCAGTAAGGCCCAAAAGTAGGGCCAATCCTGCCCTAACACCACGGGGTAAGCCAGTCGGGGGACTACCCCTATGCTGCACAGCTCTTCGTGCGACCCGATAGCTAACTTCACCTTAGCCATGGGGTACGTCCGCACGTCCCCATGAATACACTGCATTCTCACAGGGGGACCCCATTGCTCTGGGTCGCCAACTAGGCCTTCCTCTATCAGAGTATGCCCACAGCCCGTATCCACCAAGGCAGTGGCCTCCTCCTCTTGCACCTTAACTGGAATCACTATCTTTGTCCCATCTTCTTTCTGCGGTTGCCCCCCAGCCGCTAGTACTTTCCCGTAGCTACAGGCCCTGGCGGTACCCCTATCTTTACCAGGGTCTCCCTGTCGGCTCCCTGGGCGGACGGTCAGGCCTATTTTCCTCAGGGTTCCACCGATAGCCCAGTGACCTTCTAATCGGGCTATGGCTTGCCCCAAGGTCTTGGGCCTCTGCCGCCGGATCCACTCCCAGTCTTCCTTGGGCAAAACCCTCAAGAGCTGCCCCATGGCCCCTCTACTGCGTTTCCAGGGGGCCATCTTCCCCTAGGCCCCCGCAATAACCCCAGCACAACTTAATCTCGCTTCTCCCACGTGCTTTAAGCACCTCAAAACAAAACTCTCTGCGCCCTCTTCTTATCAGAGGGGGATCAGAGTACCCACATTCTCCACCAGCTGTGGCGGGGGCCACCCTCACCCCGTCCTCTCCTCCCTGAGGTTAAAGCAGGCCCCCCGAACTCACAGGCCCTGAGGCCTGGTCTGGGGGGTTTAAAGCAGGCCCCGAGGCCTAGTCTAGTAGCCACAACAGGCCCTGAGGCCTAGCCTCGTAGTCACAGCAGGCCCCGAGGCCTAGTCCAGCATCCGTAACAGGCCCTGAGGCCTAGTCCATGCCCTGAGGGGTTGGGGTAGGGGGGTCCGGGCCCTCCCTCTCCACCGGACCCCAACCCAGGGCCCTAATGGTTGTGGGTGGTTCCCACAACTGGCTCAGCGAGGGGGAGGAGGAGCGCCCCAAAATGCGCTGAGCCCAGTGGGGTTTTCCCTGGCCCTTGCCCTGGGTTGCTTCCTACCCCAGTCTTGTGGCCGACGGAGGTCCCACCTGGCGATGCTGGGCTGGCGGCAGCGGCAACATCAGCTGGCCCCGTCTCTGGTCCGATCTCTGGGGCAGCAGCGCAGGGGATGTCCACTGCAGCAGGGCGGGCGGCCCCCCCGGAGTTGGCGTTAGGGGTGTGCTCGCCCCGGGGATGGTAGCAGCAATAGCGGTGGTCCCTCCAGCTCTGATTCTGTCAGCAGGTCCAGCTGTGGCCTGCAGCTGGTGCTAGAGCTCCTTCCTCCCCGGCGATCCACCGCAACTGAGCAGCCCGGCGGCCTTTTATAGTCAGACTGCACCGCGAGCATGCCCGGTAGGGCTGTGGGGGAGGGGCGTATTCTACCCAATAGACGGGCTCCCCTCCCACCTGCTCAGTGCGGGGCAGGCTAGCCTCGTCACAGGTGTACAGATGTAACCCACACACCTAGGCTATGTCTACACTTGTGGCTTCATGTGCAATAACGGCTTTTCTTGGGCAATAATCTGCAGTGCATCCACACTGCCCACCCGCTCCTGCACAAGAAGATGTACTGTATGGTGTGGTAAGAGACGGCTTCTTGCACAAGAGCTACACTCTTTTCTTACAAGTGTAAGTTCTCTTGTGCAAGAGCTCTTGCCAAGACAGCTTCCACTTGTAAGAAAAGAGCATAGCTCTTGCGCAAGAAGCACAAGTGTGGACGCTCTCTTGTGCAAGAAAGCTATTTTAGCTATAGAGTTTTATTGCCCAAGAATCCCTGTCGTGCATCCACACTGCCATGGGCACTCTTAAGCAAAAACACATCTCGCACATGGCAGTGTGGACATGTTCTTGCGCAGAACTCCTTGCACAAGAACCCTTGCGCAAGAAGTTCTTGTGCAAGGAGCCACCAGTGTAGACATAGCCCTAGGCTGTGTCTACACTGGCTCATAACCCGAAATAGCTATGGAAATGAGAGAAGTCAGAATAGGGAAATGCGCGGGGGATTTAAATATCCCCGCGGGATTTAAATAAACATGGCTGCCGCTTTTTTCCGGCTTGGGGAAAAGCCGGAAAAGAGCGTCCAGACTGGCACGATCCTCCGGAATAAAGCCCTATTCCGGAGGATCTCTTAGTCCTACTTGCAGGAGATCCTCCGGAATAGGGCTTTACTCCGGAGGATCACACCAGTCTGGACGCTCTTTTCCGGCTTTTCCCCAAGCCGGAAAAAAGCGGCAGCCATGTTTATTTAAATCCTGCGGAGGATATTTAAATCCCCCGCGCATTTCCCTATTCTGACTTCTCTCATTTCCATAGCTATTACGGGTTATGTGGCCAGTGTAGACACAGCCCTAGTGTGGTTACTGAGCAATGCAAATGATACCGAGCCCACAGTAACAGTTAAGATCAAGAGACCTCTACAGCATAGTCAAAGAGCCTGCTGGCGCTTAGCTCAGAGGGTAGAGGTGCCTAGACTTGGTTTCAGAAGGCCCAGGTTCTAAGTCAGCTCCTGGTGGTTACACAGATTCATCCATCATGGCACTCTGATTGGATGGAGAGGCAGCATATGGCTCTCAGTCAATGTTGTGTGCAATGAGCCTGTGTCTCACTTTATGTGCCCTTGTTTATGTGCATGCCACTCTAACAATCCCAGTAGGAAAAAAAATCCTATATGGACAGAAACCAATATAATTTGGCAACCCTGCACAAGGGCAGCAATAAACAAAATATCTTGTTGGCCAAACATATAACCCCGATGGGCCACAGGTTGCCCACCACTGGTATGGAATGTATCTATAGTGCTCCTGCAAACGAACACTTGTGTGCACTAACATTTTTTTTGCACTCCTCGTTGCTATTTGCAGATACAATTCACTCTCTTCCTGCTATTGTGTACACACATTTCCCTTAAGTTGTATTAATGAGGGTTTTGTGTTTCAAGAATGGAAGCTCGCCACAAGCAATGGTTTCCTGCAGCCCACCAACTGGTAGAATGGTTCACTGCCTGGCTCAACTCCAGAATGAGCTTACTGCCTTCAAGCATGGGTGAGTCCCCATTTTTCTGAGCATTAGTCTACAAGCTGGAGAAGAAGAATGTGACCAGAGGTTAGGACGCGAGGAGAGCTTCTGCTAAACATACACTAGGAACCCGGTTAGGAATTTCAGCCTGCTCCCTTCCATGGGAAGAAATTGTGGCTCAGCAGCATGGTGAGGTGAGGTCAGAAATGCTGTGGCTTATGATGAAAGCAGTCCAGAATTCTGGAGCTGCTGAAGATGAGGTATTCCCCACCTGTCAATAAAAATCAGCCTCTCCCATCTGCAGACACCAAGGCCCAGACCCTGTAAGGTATTTAGGCACATAACTCCTGCTGGTTTCCAAAAGAGTTAGGCACCTATATACCTTTAAGTTTCTGGATATAAGAGCCTGGATGACCTTTCATGAACAATAGCCACAGTGGTGAACTTGTGCTGGACCTAATTCCTAGTCCCTTTACTAGGGTTTCATGCAGTTAAAATAAATCACTTACACCATGTTTTATGAAGATAGATGCAAAATTCTGATCTGGATTTCAACTGTCTCAAAGCTTGGGAATGTGAGTATCAAGCTTTTGGTTAGGGAATTATAGCCCGATACTAAAAAATAGGGGCCATTATTCAAATGCAGCCCTGTATCTGGATTGGGTCCCAAAATGGGTTCAGATTTGGAACTGGGCCCTCCTCAGGGCAAAGGTGTATTTGTCTGTGATGTTTCATTGGGCTCATCTCTATTAAGTTCTTAAACCAAGATGAGAAATGAAAGATACATTTCCTTCCAACTTACTTTTGGCACTTGGTATCCAGCCAGTGTTGTATCCCTTGTTGCAATTCTAGGCGGCCTGGAACAGCAACTCTGCATCTCTTTTCAGTTCTCAGCTGAAAATTCCTCTGCTCTCCTTTGTCTATACCTCTTCTCTCTGTGTCTGTTCCTGGCATTAGGATTTCCTGATTTAATATGGTGGCTTTTCACAGTTCCATGTAGTGTTTTCCCTGTGTAGTTAGAGGACTTATATTGCTTATCTCTGTAAATCAGTGTGGACATGGGCAGTTTGTATGAAAACCGTTATTTACAGTAAGTATTGTACTGAAAGCTTGTACTTGTGGGCCACTCTACAACTGGCTTGCTGAGGGCCTGGCAAAGACTGTTACATTGGGACTATTGCATGCAAGTGGGCCAAGGAAGGGAGTGATTCTAAGGGTGTAAGTTCCAACTCAACCCAAATGTCTACCCTTTGCAATTTTTAGCCCTGCAGCCTGTGTTCTGTGAGCACACATCAGCTGTCCCAGCTATGGCTATGCAATGCACCTTCCAAGGGGTTGAGTATCACACCAGTCTGCCACATGGTACTCACTGCCTTCTCGGCACTTGTCTGCAACCCCTTGAGATATCAAGGGGACTGGGTATGGAACCACTGCCCACACAGCACTCCTAGCCCTGACCCTCTGCCATGGCAACCAAATCACCCAGGAGTAATGGCAGCATCTCTCTTCAGCTCTTAAGCAGGGAACAGGTGGAGTGACCATCTTCCTGGGATGAAGTAATTAACCTCTGTCTGGACACAGTTCATTGGAGCCCAGTGAAGTTTGTCTGTAAGCAAAGTGCAGTGAAAACATTTAGCACTTTCTCTCCATGTAATTGGAAAGGTTCGTCGGCACACAGGAGTTGCACTGACTTAATGCAAGATATGATATTGAACCAGTGCAGCTGTATGTGTGGACACTTATACCAGTGTTGTATCACTTTAGCTTATACCAGTGTATTCTAGGGATTGCTTGGGGGATCAATAATGGGATGTGGCCACCAGATCAAATCCAGCCCAGTGTAGCAATGAATAGGAGGCACTATTATCAAATGGCTGCATGGTGGCTGTATGAAGTATGCTGTGGGCCGCATTCCCTATAAGCCGTGCATTTGCGCGGCCACTCAAGAGAGATTCAGATGCCGGTCAGCTGATTAGCAGAGCATTCACAGCTAGGTTTTGTGTTTCTACTTGTGGTGCACAATTTCACATGCCTTGGTGCACATAACAAAACGTATTCTGCAAATGGACGGAAGAAGTTAGAGGGAACATTGGTTGTGGGGCTGGGGAGAGGTGTTAATCCATTGTCTTTAAGGCTAATATCCACACTCCCAAAACATGTAGGCTACGTCTACACTGGCCCCTTTTCCGGAAGGGGCATGTAAATTTCACTAGTCGTCGTAGGGAAATCCGCGGGGGATTTAAATATCCCCCGCGGCATTTAAATAAAAATGTCCGCCGCTTTTTTCCGGCTTTTAAAAAAGCCGGAAAAGAGTGTCTAGACTGGCCCCGATCCTCCGGAAAAAGTGCCCTTTTCCGGAGGCTCATATTCTTACTTTGAAGTAAGAGCCTTATTCTTACTTTGAAGAATAAGAGCCTCCGGAAAAGGGCACTTTTTCCGGAGGATCGGGGCCAGTCTAGACGCTCTTTTCCGGCTTTTTTAAAAGCCGGAAAAAAGCGGCGGACATTTTTATTTAAATTCCGCGGGGGATATTTAAATCCCCCGCGGATTTCCCTACGACGACTAGTGAAATTTACATGCCCCTTCCGGAAAAGGGGCCAGTGTAGACGTAGCCATTTTGTATGACAGGAAGGAGATTAAATCGGCCATGATTTTCAACTCAGGTCCCCCTTGTTGCCTCTGTAGCTCACATCTGAAGGCTGAAGAGGACACTGCCCATGGTCCACATTTTAAAAATCATGAAGCTACATTTACAGGCATGGAAGAGTTAAATGTTGTACCCAGTGTCACACAGGAAGTCTGAAGCAGAACCTGGACTAGGATTAGGGAGTTTTAAATCCCAGTCCTGTGCATTATTCAGAAAACCAACTTCCTCTTATATCAGGGTTTTTCGAGCTGTGGCTTGCACTCCTTAACTCTGCACTAGATGCTGGGGGTGTAACTGAGTGAGAAAAAGGGGAAAAAAGGAAAGGGTTTCTGAATGCGGGGAAATGGCAACTGTGGGAAGAAAGCATCTTTGCTCAGACAGTTTATAAACCAACATTCTGAGTTCTGTGAAAAACCGGATGCAGCAAGGGCTAAGGGCAGAAATTCAAGAGATATTATGACCTTAGAAACTGAAACCTTGACCATTTACCTTGAATCTCTGGATTTGTGGCCATGTACAGCAGAGCCCAGCGGATGGTTGTAGATGTTGTTTCAGTTCCAGCAAAAAAAAGATCCAATGTGGAAAATACAAGATTTTCTTCATGGAAACTATAGTCAGTATCCGCCTTAGAACAAAGACATAAGGTGGGAGGTATGAAAACAATATTTATTAGTATTATACAAAGCCATGGAAACATCATTCCAGGCTCAGGTACACAAACCGCTGGATGCCCTGAATTTCCACTGCCTTTGTGAGAGCTGAGCAAACACAGCCCCTTAAAGGACAGCACCATTACAGAGAAACACTATGTTTTTGGCATTAGTTTTGAGAATCAAAAATCTAAGCTGATTTTAGGTCTGAGCAGCAAGCCTGCTGGTGTCACTGAAAAAGTCCCAGGCACTTTCACTGGCTCTTTGGTCTGGCCCCTAGAACACAGGCAAATATTCAACAAAGCACTACTGACTACTCTTCCCTGCTTAAGGCTCTACAGCAGGGGTCTCCAAACTTTTCAGCCCGAGGGCCGCATTAACTATCAAACAGCAGTTCGGGGGCCGACTACACACTTGAGGTCCAAATAAAAAACAATCAAAACATGGATGTTGTTTTTAATTATTTATTTAATATTATTTTATTCAGTTATTATTTAATAACACATTGATACACTACACATGAACACCTGTATTAGTGTGAATGGTGAAATTGTTTCCTGGATGCCAAAATAGACATTTCTGGCTTTAGATTTGTTGTCCCTAACATCAACAGTGACCTGAGATTATCATCGGACAAGTTTGTTCTCAAATTGTTCTTCACGTATTTCATTCTTGAAAATGTTTGTTCACACAGGTATGTTGTTCCAAAGATTGAAAGGTACCTTGATGCAAAAGTTTTGACATTAGGAAAGTCTTCCTTGGGCAAAAACTGGTAAAAACCCACCAGTCCTATTTTGAACTTGTCCCTAAGGAGGTCATTTGCTTGCAACTCAATGACTTCCAGCTGCAGTTCATCTGGGCAACTGGCCACATCTGCTTCAAATGGGTTTTGAAACAATCTCACTTCTTCTGCCTTTGAATCCAAAAAGGTCTCCACGGGCCGGATGAGAGGGCCTCGCGGGCCGCATCCGGCCCCCGGGCCGTAGTTTGGAGACCCCTGCTCTACAGAATCAGCCCCAGAGATTTCAAACTTAACTAATGGAGGGTCAGCTGCTCAGACAACTCAATGGAGATCTCTGTCACTGTAGTTCTACTTCTAATTTTTAAAATTAAAAAATATTTTGTTCTTGTTCACTTCATTCTAAAATTAAAAAATGTTTTGTTGTTGTTCACTTTATTCTCTGGTCTCTTACCTTTGCCATTTCCTTCAGATAACAGTCAATGAAGTCTCTGGTTTCTGAGGGATTCCAGTCCTCTTTGTGCTTTGCAATAATTTCCCTCACAAAACACTTCAGTTTCCCCCAGTTTTTGAAAATGGTGTGATGGGGTCCTGGGATCCACTTCATTAGGGTGGGAAAGGCGTTGTACAGCTTTTGACATACAAACACAAAACAGTGTGTTTTTTCCTCGTTTTATAAAAAACCATCTTATGATTTAATGTACCCCCATGCATTCTATTGGAGACACCACATTTATTAAACCACCCTAATACATAATTGCAGTATGGATGTGCTCAGAGACCTCAGAGGAGATCAGCACACCAGCGTGCTAGGCACTTCACATCACCGTGCTAGGCACTGCCACGATTGCACAGGTATCTGTTTCAGAGCCAGACAGTGAGAGCACTGTTTTAACCACCAGTCTATTCTTTCTTGCTAAGATATGGGCTCTTTTCTCTCAGCCACATTTGGGTAACAACGTGTCCCTGGAAACCTGGGTTTTTTGTCTATCTCAGTGATCCAGCATCATTATAAAACACAGTGCTTTGTCCCTCCAAATGGGGCCACCTGAAGGAGCTGCTGGCTGGGTGACTCCCTGACTTTGATGGCAGGTTGACTGTGCCTCCAGGATCATCTCCCACCCGGCCTATTGCATAGGGACACCCTGCCATCCCCACTGCCGCAAGCAAATCTACACCGCCACACAAGTCTTAGAGAGTATGTCTACATTACAAAGTTAGTTCGAATTAACTTTCATAGCATCTATACATACAAATTGCTAGTTCGAACTTAAGTCGAACTAGCGGAGCGCTTAATTCGAACTAGGTAAACCTCATTCTACGAGGATAAACGCCTAGTTCGAATTAAGTAGTTCGAATTAAGGGCTGTGTAGCCACTTAATTCAAACTAGTTGGAGACTAGCCCTTCCCAGATATCCCCGGTGACCACTCTGGGCCAAACCA